TCCGAATCGACTTGCTGTATCCTTTGGGCTATTTTGAGTTGTAGGTTTCTCAGCCCTATTACCCACCGTTTGGCTCGTGCTACCGCCAGGAACTCTTGTCTCAACCAAGCGATTACCTTCTCGAATTCCGTTGCTTTATGCGGGTTTGCCAGGCATCTTAGGCAGGGTTCTCTAAGTGGGGTGATCCGAGGTTGTGACGAGGTTTCAACCGGGTTTTGTCCGTCTCGGCTCATCCTTCTGGACCTGGGAGGGCCGGCACCTGTTCGGTGGGTGTTGCTTCGTTCTTCGCTGCGCTGGTCTACCTGTTCTCCATCTTCGAGTCTTGGGAAGGACTCTTCTTCCAGACCCTCAAGCAGGCTAAAGCGATTTTCCAACCTTGGAAAATGGGATTCTGCTTGTTTGAAAGATATCTGTTTCTCTTTCATCGCCTGGTGAATGTTGTGGCGCCGCTGTTTTTCTGGGCATTGTGGGTCTTCTGCTTTGTGGTTTCGTTTGCAGTTCGGGCATTTTGCCACCCTATTGCAGTCCGATGTTGCGTGGCTCTCTCCGCAAGACCCGCAGCGTGTGCGAGACGTACAATATTTGGCCCCATGACCAAATCTCCAGCAATTCTTGCACTGTCGAACCGGGAAGATGTACAGCTCTGCTCTGAAACTGCATCCGAAGATTTTGACGCTCTTTGGCACTTGCCCTCCTTCCACTGTAACTTTGATGTTGTATGTTGCCTGTAGTTCCCCGTTTGCGCCTCTTCTTTTTATCCTCTCTATCTTGGTGATCGGGTAGTCCGCTTCAGAGTGCTCCGCCATTTCTTCTTCCTCGAATGTCGGAGGTACTCCTCGGATGAATACGATGGTAAAGTTGTTTCTTCTGGACTCGTACACTCTGAGGTTGTGCCTCTCTAGGTTCAGCCGGTTGACGTCTAGTACCGCTAGGGTGTCAATTTTGAATCTGAATTTACCCAGCTTGTTGATTTCGCTGAATCTGGTGAACCCCTTCTCCATGAGGATCTTTCCGAGATGTGCTGGATGTTTTGGGAAGTCCTTCTCTGTGTCGACAAGCTCGAGTATGACCGAGTTGGGGGGATCAGGTAACGGGTCGCCGCCCGTGGTTGGATCGTCCGGCGGTTGGTTTTGGCTGTCCATAGCTCCAGTGCTGTCTTCCTTCATCTTTTGAAATTGCCTGGTTATCCTCCCATGTGCCGTTTTTCTGCTCTCCACGATTCTTTTAATTCTAGTATCCTCTTCTGTTCTCCTAGAGCTACCGGAAGGCATTTTGCCGACGACCGATTTGTCACTTGCTTACTCTGGTCACCCTACACTATGAACCTTCCCCTGTTTGTTCTTGCTATTCTCCTGATCGTCCTACCTGCTACCGAATCGTTATCGAATGATTACACTCACTGAAGGCCGTGTGGAATGCCACAGAATGGCAGAACCCCTGCCAGCACCACGAAGTGTCCCTTGGATCCGTTTTATTCCCAGATTTATTCTTTCTTTTTCCACGACAAAGTACAAAGGCGTCTGCTCAGGCTTGTTGATCAGCAACACGTCGACCGTTTTTCCTACTTTTCGCCGACGAATCGAGGTTAGACTCGCCAAAGGTTTGAGAGAATCGTAGATTTCCTGACGAATTTCACTTTTCCCCTGAAAATAGCATTTTCTATACAGCGTCCGGCAGTGCGGGGAACCGAATGTCACTGGTTTTGAACGGAATCACTCGATTTTTCACTGTATTTTTCCCGATTTTCATGCGCTCATTGCGGAGCAAACACTTTTCACGTTGAACTTCTTTTCCTTTTTCCATTTTCACTTTTCAAATGACGCAAACAAAACACAATGGTGCGATGCGCACGCTTCCCGGAACAAGAACTGTCAAATATTACGCCGTGATGCCAAATCTTCAGATTTTGTTTTTATTCGATGGCTAAAAAATAATATCTTAGGAGTTTATGATTTATTTTGTCCAAGCACAAAAGTGAGCATATATTTATTTAAATTTGTAACAGAAATAGCAGAATATTATAACAATTTTCATTCAGCTAATTGAATGCACCATGAGAAATATTTGAACTTTTCTGAATATACTGCTGAAATTGCGTGCAAAATAGCAAAAATATGATGTAATGTACTTTTTTGGGTTGAACGTATGATTTATTTTGTCCAGTACTGTACTTAGTGTTGTTCATCGATGATCTCCTACGATCGGACATTAATTGCCGTTCACTTCTGCAGCAGTTGAATGTCAATATCAATCTTATTATTTTTTCAACATCCCGGATTCTCGCACAAACTACGGCGCTAATGAGCCGTTAACTAGCATGTGCAATATTTTTTTATCAAATGGTATAACTGCTTTGATTTTAATATCACCCGTGTTAGGTTTAAGAATCTGTTTTATAATGTACTTTTAACTTCCTGACGGTTTCTGTTTTCTGTATTTAAATTAAGTTAATTATGTTATCAAGAATATCTTTTTATATGTTTAGGACTTAGTTCAAGCAAATGTATCTGTAGAATTCCATGTTATCTGTTGGTACAGAAATGATGAGGTTTCGCGCCCACTTGTGTGGGCTTTTACCTCGAAATAAATAAATAAGTACATAAATAAGTAAATAAATATGCATGTAAGTAATTGGTGAATTTGTTAGTTATTTCGACGCTTTGGACAATGCTTGAAATTTACCACTTATTCAATAGTTTCTTGTTGAAAATCAATAGTCGGAAACATCGCTGATCGATTGATGATAAAATATTGAAAATGGTCCAGGGGCAGCTGAGTTATTAACATTCAAAATCTTTCATAATTTCGTTACATGTTCTATTTTCGGTTTTAACAAAGTGTACCCCCATATAAAAATCACAGACGTAGTCTTACGTCAAAATTTGGGTTTCACATAGTCACATAGTCGAAATGAGTTCAAATTTTGGGAGGCTAATCTGGACCCAATTTGGAACCGTTTGAGCACTGTCTAGCGAACATTTCAAATTTTGCATCATTCATGATCATAAATTTCGCAAAGCGTGTCTGCTCTATTTACGGTCACTGTCCCTCATTCGAACAATTTCGTTACAAACATCAATATCCACGAAAGGAAACTCTGTTGAACGATCCATTTGGCGTACACTTACCAGCAAAACGTGATCAAAATCTCAACAAATAAGGGCACTTTTCCCCATTTCAGATGCTCTGTCTCTGCGTCCCAGAAAGTCACCAACCACACGTTAAGGTGCTTCTCAGGAACAAAAAAACTATCACCAAGTGTATAAATAACTGTCAGAAAAAGTAGCTCAAAAGTTAAGCTTCCAGAACCGGGCGGGAGTTGATGTTGTTTGCCACCAACCTCACCGAAAGCGAAAGAAAGTGGCTTCTCTCCGCAGCTAATAAGAACTGGTCCCGTCCTTCGTCGTCGTCTTCATCGTCACCGTTGTCGGAAAGGTGAAAAACTTGTTCTTTTCCTCTGGCACACAATAATTCCACATGTATGTTCCCTCATGAACGTAGGTGTGAGAAAATCAACTCTTTTTGAAGTTGGGGATGTTCCCACCCCCCTCGACCCAGTCACACCACTTGGGCAAAGACAAAAGTTTTCTCATTATTTTTGTCAGCACCTTTCTTTCGTTGGGACCCCGCCACATGGTTGGAATTTTCGTCTGGTCGAGTCTGACTGGTACCTGCGGAGTACCTACCTGTGTGGAATATAATATTTTTTCGTCACAAACACACCAGGAATGCAGGGTTTTGTGTGTGCTGTGCAAAAGTCTCACGTTCTTGCCGGCATAGTTGAAATGTTTCATGCTCCTAACCTCAACATTCGGTTGCAAGAAGTGAGCTACGTTGGATTTTTGTGGTGGTTTTTTTTTTCCGGTGAAGGACGAGGAGCTCAATTTAATTAACTCGTGGAAATGCTTTTAAATGGAAGAATAACAACACGTTGTAAAAGGTTTTAGGAAACGAGACCGTATGGATTTGAAACTACTGTTAAGATCTACGTAATGACCGAGGTAATGAGTTCTACAGGATAGTTTTGTTTTCGTCGAGATTTGTTCGGCCGTTGAATCTTATACATCACGGTCACTCATAGACTGAGTAAAATTTTGCTCCAATATGAGTAACTGTCACTTATATTCGAGCAGAAATCTTCACCAATGTGGTCATCAAGTCTGATTAGGCTACCTGAGGCCAACATTAATATTGGAAAAAGTTCGCAATGCCTATCCGAAACAAAGATTAACTGCTTCACTGCCTAATTTCGGACATGCAATCCTACAAGAGGCAAATCTTTGGCAAAACAATTCCATCAATACTTACCCCATCACGAAAGATTACCTACGATGTTTTCCCATCCGACAAGTTTTCAAATAAACGCTAATGCCCTTTCTTGATTTCCATCAACACTGCCACTAAAGGTACTGGCAACGAATGTCCCCCCAACGCCCACCCATGCCAACTGTGATTGCGTGCAAAGTTTGTTAATGCAAATTGCGTGTTTATTTACCTTTTCTGTCTGTGTGTGGTTTCTTTTCACTCCAGCTCAGATTCAAACGCTCCCAGTTTGAGTCTATTTGCGGGTTGCAGCACCTACCTCGCACATCACTCTACCACAAAGTATTCCCAAAGAGAAATTAAAGAATACCGATAAAGAAGCGTAGTGTGCGGTGCGCCATCGCCGTTGAACTTCAAGGTCTGCTTTACGTGAGGATAAAGTTTTCCTCCTGCCACCTTCTTGTTTTCATCATCATCATCAACGAACTCATCTCACGGGCGGTAACTCATTAAATGCAGACCTACGGAACGAGTGGAACTTTGCAAGACGAGAACGAACAGCAGGAGAAGGAGACCTCTGGTGGAATGGAACGGCAAAGGAATTCATAATCAAAACAACATATTTTTGGCTTATCAACATGATCAAAAGACGGATGAAAGTTTATCTTTGTATGAATTTATTTACAAAATTAGAGGGCTGTTGTTTTCGTAAATACAATTATTATACAGCTTACATTTCAACAACACAGTCCTTGCTTCCGGATGTCTTCGATCCTGGGGTCATTCAGAATGATAGATTCATCTTCGACATAAACCCACTCCCTCCCCTGTTCTCGCGCCTTCTGCCCTAACATCAACCTTGCAATCGTCGTAAACACCTTCTCCACATTGAAGCATTCCTTGGCAGACGTCTCAATAAACTCCATCCCATACCGGTCGGCAAACCTCTTGGCATCCCTCGACGGTACCTTCTTCAGCTGGGGGTTATCGTTCTTGTTCCCCACCAGCAGCCGGCACACCTCACCGCAGTTCGACTCCACCTCCTCCAGCCAATGTTTGACATGGTTAAACGACCGCAAGCACGTTACGTCATACATCACCACCACTCCGTGCGCCCCTCGGTAGTAGCTGCTCGTGATTAGCCGAAACCGCTCCTGGCCTGCTGTGTCCCAGATTTGCAGCTTGACCCGTTCGCCATTGATCGTGACGGTTCGAATTTTAAAATCCACTCCGATCGTGATCAGATGCTGCTGGGGGAATTTGCAATCCGCGTAGCGAAGCAGTAGCGATGACTTGCCGACTCCGCTGTCACCGATGATGAGCAGCTTGAAGATGTGCTGATCGTTGCTGTCGAAGGGAAGCATCTTTATCTGCTAAAGAGCACGGAAACTTTGATGATGCGGTTGCTGGAGAGTTCTGATGTTTTATAGGTAACTCATTGGGTACCTGTTGTTCGGGGACGATTTTGTTTATACCAAAACATCGTTACCTGAAAATACTGTGAACATGCGCTTGGGTTGAACAAAATCAATAACAGTCACCTACCTGTGAACTTGAAGTTTATTGCAACCAATTTCAACTCATTTGGAGGATTTGCACTAATGTCTGTTTTATCTGAAGAGGGCCTCAATCCAAAACCGTCACCGAATTCTGTCAAAAACAACCAAAACAAAACATTTGCTTAACCCTTTCGAGACCATTTGTTTTCCGATGTGCATATTGTAACCGAAACAAGGAGGATTTTTCAAATGGACGTTGGGTAAATTGTCCAATAGGGGACCCCCTAGTAGAAACAAAAAGTATCTTTGTGTGTGTGATTTTCTCATTCAAACGACAAAAATGTGATAAGTTTTTGATTGGTCATCAATTTCAACACTTGTGCGTATGACATCTGTTTGAAAAATAAAACTGGTTCAAAAATGTAGTGCAATTTCTCTATAATAGACCCCTTTTTTCTAAAGTGAACCCCTGTCCACTAAACGTTTAGGGGAAACAGTCCTATTGTTGCGGTACGTTAGTAGCGTTAGAAGCCTATTGTTGTGTATGGAGACCCCCTTCAATAGACGGGTCCACTAAAGGAAATTATTATTACCGTCGTTTCCCGATTTTGTCAGCTTCCGATTTTGTCAGCCTGCAGATTTCACTAAATTTTTGAATTTTTTAACCATGGATTCTCAAACTCTACGCTATGAATAATTGTTATTCTTACATTTCGCTGTAATACGAATGTTAGGAGAAGCAGGGGTTAAATGTACATACGGGGTAAAATTAACAAATCAGTGCCAACATTTCAAAGGGGCGTAATTGCATTTGTAAACAATGGCTTTAGCCGTCGATTTCTCGCGAATAAAAGTCCACTCATGAAAAATAATGACACCAGCAGGTAGATGAATGTTTCCTCTACCAGCTAGCATTGTTATTTTGGAGAGGTAAGATTTCATTCGCGAAAAATTGACGGATAAAGTCATTGTTTACAAAAGCCATTACGCCCCTTTGAAATGTTGGCACTGAGTTGACGATTTAAGGTGTTTTTTTTCACTCAAATATCAATCAATCTTTCATCCAATGTACCTTTTACATGTTAATTCATTTACATTAATATAATGTATTCCTACTAGAAATTATTTGGTTTGAATTTGTTTACTCGAAAACAGTAGGCTGTGGAGTTTTGACGTCTTAAGAAAAGTTTTTTTTTTTATTTTATCAAGATAAGCAACTTTGCAAAAGTCGTCAAGTCTTCAAAACGCCATTTCAATGCATTGGAAAAAAAAGTCTCAAAAACGTCAGAGAAAGGATTTAGATAGTGGCGCCATCTTTGCGGAAGAGTTTTGAACTATTTTTTTTATGTCAATAGATGGTCCTTATTATGATGAAAAACTTTGCCCAAGACACCAAGTCGCGGAAATTCTTCGTTTCGGAGTTATTAATTTTGCTCCGCTAGATTCCATTCCTGAACCAGTGTGCAGTGGTCGAGAGAACCGAGTAGGCGTCCAAGCAGAAGTGAAGAGGAGATCGATACTGCACCATGATAACGATCGATAACAATTGATCGAAGAATGTGTTCAACAGCGCAGCTAAAAAGCCATTTCCAGAGCGCTGACTACCTGTGCAGGATTCTGAGGAGTTACTTCCAGAGCCTGGTTTGAGGTCTACGAGACAGATATGGGACAGAGATCGACTAGCATCACAACAGTAGTTCCATAAGGCTCCATTCTTGGTCCAAAGCACGCCTTTGCCTCAAGCACGTGTTGAAAACCTGGGAGTGATGATCGATTCCCGGCTAAACTTCAACAGCCACGTCAAATATGTGTGTGAGAATGCATGGAAGGCCATTGACACAATAGCTACATGCTGAACAACCCCCTTCCTGCGACATTATCAACGTCCGCACGTACCGCAGTGCGAACATAAATTCGGACCACTACCTAGTTGCAGTATGCATGCGCTCAAAACTCTCGGCGGTGCATAACACCCGTCAAAATCGAACGCCGCGACCCAACATTGAGCAACTACGGGACGCCGGAGTTGCCCAGAACTACGCGCAGCAGCTGGAAGTTGCACTACCCACGAAAGAGCAGCTTGGCACAGCTTCTCTTGAAGATGGCTGGAGGGGCATTTGTTCCGCCATAGGTAATACTGCTGCAGCGGCACTAGGTACTGCAATACCGGACCGAAGAAATGACTGCTTTGACGGCGAACGCAAACTGTTAGTAGAGGAGAAGAATGCAGCACGGGCGAGAATGCTGCAACACCGCACGAGATTGAATGTGGAGCGATACAGACAAGCGCGCACCAGACAAAACTCGGTTTTCCGAAGGAAGAAGCGTCAGTAGGAAGACCGAGATCGCGGGGCTATGGAAAATCTGTACCGCGTAAACGACACACGGAGATTCTATGAGAAGCTAAATAGTTCGCGCAAAGGCTATATGTGCAAGGACTTGAACGGTAACCTTCTCACGAACGAATGTGATGTGATTGAGAGGAGGAAGCAGTACTATGAGGATCGCCTCAACGGTGATGCAGCAGAAAACTAAAGTGGCACGGCAACAGACCTTGGAGCACGCGCAGAAGACGACAGGCTACCGGCCCCTGATCTTCAAGAAGTTGAGAGGGAGATCGGTCGGCTGAAGAACAACAAAGCAACTGGTGTAGATCAACTACCAAGTGAGCTATTAAAATACGGTGGTGAAGCACTGGCTAGAGCGCTGCACTGGGTAATTGCCAAGATTTGGGAGGAGGAGATGTTACCGGAGGAGTGGATGGAAGGTGTTGTATGCCCAATCTACAAAAAGGGCGACAAGTTGGATTGCTGCACACGATCACACTGCTGAGCGCCGCCTACAAGGTACTCTCCCAAATTCTATGCCGCCACCTGTCATCATTTGCAAGAGAGTTCGTGGGGCAAAACCAGGCGCGCTACCACGTACCAATTTTTCGCGATTCGGCAGGTTCTGCAGAAATGCCGCGAATACAACGTGCCCACACATCATTTGTTCATCGATTTCAAATCCGCATACGACACAATCGATCGAGATCAGCCATGGCAGATTATGCACGAGTACGGATTTCCGGATAAACTGACGCGATTGGTCAAGGCGACGATGGATCGAATGATGTGCGTTGTTCGAGTATCGGGGACACTCTCGAGTCCCTTTGAATCTCGAAGGGGGCTACGGCAAGGTGATGGACTTTCGTGTCTGCTATTCAACATCGCGTTAGAAGGTGTGATCAGAAGAGCTGGGATAGACACGAGTGGCACGATCTTCAGGAAGCCCATTCAGCCACTTGGCTTCGCCGATGACATTGACATCATGGCACGGAACTTTGAGATGATGGCGGAAACGTACATCAGACTGAAGGCTGAAGCTAGGCGGATTGGACTTGCCATCAACGCATCAAAGACAAAATACATGAAAGGAAGAGGTTCTAGGGAAGACAATGTTAGCCTTCCACCCCGAGTTCAGATTGACGGTGACGAAATCGAGGTGGTCGATGAGTTCGTGTATTTGGGCTCACTGGTGACCGCCGAAAATGATACCAGCAGAGAAATTCAAAGACGTATTATGGCAGGAAATCGTGCCTACTTTGGATTCCGGATGACGCTCCGGTCGAATAAAATTCGCCACCGCACGAAGTTGACTGTCTACAAGACGCTGATTAGACCGGTGGTACTCTACGGCCACGAGACCTGGACTATGCTCGTGGAGGACCAACGCGCCATTGGTGTTTTCGAACGGAAGGTGTTGCGTACCATCTACGGTGGAGTGCAGATGGATGACGGAACGTCGAGGAGGCGAATGAATCACGAATTGCTCGAGCTGCTGGGAGAACCATCCATCGTCCACATTGCAAAAATTGGGCGACTACGGTGGGTTGGGCACGTCGTAAGAATGCCGCACGACGACCCAGTGAAAATGGTTCTAGAAAGCGACCCAACAGGAAGAAGAAGAATAGGCGTGCAGCGGGCAAGGTGGATCGACCAAGAAGAAGGCGACTTGCGGACCCTTCGCAGACTGCGAGGTTGGCGAAGTGTGGCCATGGATCGAGTAGAGTGGAGACGACTTCTTCGGACAGCAGAGAACAACAAGGCCTTAGTCTGACTGGTAAGGTAAGTAAGTGAAAAAGGTGATTTTGGTGCTTCTGTTGAAGAATATCACGAGTGTACAGGTGAGAAACAGTGATATAAAGTGTTATTTCCTCTGTTAACTGTACAATAGAGGAAAGGAAACGAGAAAAGAAATCGTCCATTATGCAAGACGAAGGTGTAACCATAGAGGTAACTCTAAGACTAGAAGGTCCCGAAATAACGTGCTCAACTTTTTGGCTCAGCTCTGGTACTCTCTTCGGTCCCAAGCTAATCGATTCACCCCGCGAAACATAGGAAAAACCAATAACCCCTCATTTTATCTGTCAAACTTTCATAGCGAATCAAAACAAACATTGCGTAGTACTAGAATCTTGACTAGAATGGGATACGTTAATCATTTGCTTGGGACCAATAGGCTAGTCAAGTAGTGAGCCAATTTAAAATCGTTAGTTTCGTATTGATTGTTGGTGTAACTGCAAGAATATTCTTGTAGTGCAAAACTGTCAAATGCTTACATGGAATATTGCATGCAAACTTGCAGAAATGGTATTCCAGTTGGAGCTTGCATCGAATCAGCGCTGCGAGTTTCACTGTAAAGTGCTAAGCGGAATAATAGTAATAAATAAATAAATGAAAATAAGGGTTTTATTTTTGATTTTGGATTTGCACTATTAAAGTGTAGATGACAAATTCAACACGGAAATATATATGTTAATTCATCTGGTACATTTTATCGTTCAATCAAATTATTTTTGTAGAGTTTAAGTTTAATTTCGATTCCATCGTATTATTATTATTTTCAGCTATAACACGCTAAAACAGATCGTTGCTTTAAGCTAATATATTTTGATACTGCAATTGGAGTACTGTTGAAAACGGAAAAGCTACAAGCTGCCCACCTCAATCTGAAAAGATGGAGATTGATACATCCGTTGGTACCGATGAGCTCATGGAGAATCAATTTTTGAGTGATTCTGTCACAGAGGTGCAATCCTGTTCCTCTTCTATCCTCGATACTCCAAAACGCGACGATTTGAA